TCGAGCCCGGATCTCCAGTCAGGTTCTGTCGCCAAGTTCTAGTCAGGTTCTCTTGCCATGTTTTCTTGCTAGGTTCTGGCTCTAGGTTCTGTGTCCTGTTGTCTTGTTACATTTGTATTTATGCCAGTTGATTTTAATCCTGTCAATTTCTATTCCAAAGGTTAGGGCGTTGTTTCTTATCTCCATTCCAGGGAGTAAAGATTATGTAGCTTAAGCGTGATTGTTCTTAGTTAAAGTGATTAACTACCCGCCTGGCACTTAGTTAAGGGGTTTTATTCCCTCCCTAACTTCAGGGAAAAATTCCTACCTGGGGAAACAACCTTTCTCGGAGAGGTGACCTTGGTTAAAACACATAGCGCCAAGAAGGGGAGCAAACATATTAAGAACAGTATGCCATATATGCCAGGTCCCTTGAAACATATGCTGTGCAGATGTTTCTTCTCTGCAGCGACTGTGTCAAGCAGCAAGGATGGACCGGCTCCCGGCAGCAGAACATCCAGAATCTGTCAACTTTTGGGTGGGACAGAGGGGGGCCATTTGCCTTGCCTCCACCTTGCCTGCCGCCAAAGGAGCAGAGTTGCACAATTGCCTAGTAACACCTCTGGGAATCCAGGAAGTTAAAACTTTGGAAGCTTTGGAGGAAAGGAAAGGTGGGGTCTGGTATTTTGAATTTTCAGCTGACTTATGCCAAGTGGGTCTGTACGTAGGTCTAAATACTGGAACTCAGGTAATTTTTTAAAATGTAGCCCTGGCCGCCTGGTAGCTCAGTTGGTTAGAGTCTTCCTGATATGCCAAAGTTGTGGCCTTATTCCCAGGTCAGGGCACATGTATGAATCAACCAATGAATGCATTCTCTCTCTCCCCCCTCCCCCACCCCTTTCTTCTCTCTTCATATCAGTCAATCAATCAACAAAATTTTTTTAAGTGCAATATATTCATAAGATTCAAAATGTATAGCAGGGTAAAGAATGAAACATTTCAAAAAAAAAAAGAAAGAAAGAAAAAATAGAATAAAACATCTCCCTGTATCCCTGTCCTCTCATTTCTCATCACCCAGTCCCCTCCCCAGAGATGGTAGAGTTATCACACCTTCATGGGAGTCCTTCTGTTAAGTCCTTGAGTTCTAGATATACAGGGAAATAAGTGAAAGTGTGTTTTTTTCTATCCCCCTTTTATACCAGTACAAAAGGTAACATGCTAACTACTTGGTTTAGGACTTTATTTTTCACTTCACCACAGCTCCTGTGTCCTACTTGTGTTGCTTGTTGCTGAGCATTCCAGAAGCCTAAAGAAGTGAGATTGTTCTCATCTTTTGCTGTTACGATGTTGCAATGAATTGCCTAGTGTAGGTATCATCTCACAGCGGAGCAATGAATCTGCAGAATGAATTCCTAGAAGGGGAATTTCTGGGTCAAAGGAATGTGTTTTTCTACTTTTTTTAAAAAAAATATATTTTATTGATTTTTTTACAGAGAGGAAGGAAGAGGGTTAGAGAATTAGAAACATCAATGAGAGAGAAACATCGATCAGCTGCCTCCTGAACAGCCCCTACTGGGGATGTGCCCGCAACCAAGGTATATGCCCTTGACCGGAATCGAACCTGGGACCCTTCAGTC